CTGCTGGATCTTTAGCACATAGACGACAATTAGGTTTGATATGATTACAACCAACACCACCTTGAGCACATTTTGGATCATAATACATACCAAGACCAGCAGCTGCATCACCTGGTGAAGTTAATGATGTACATGAACCATCAAGTGGCATAGTACATTCACCACCAGTTGTTACTGGTGCAGTTGATGTAGTACTTGATGATGGATCAGTTGTAGGAGTAGGTAAAGTTCCTGTACCATTATTTGTATTTGGTCGTGTAGCAGCCCAATACTAGAAACAAAAAGTTATAATTAAACAAAAAAAATAATAAGATTCTTAATATTTACAAGAGCCCAAGTACGTGTAAGACCATCATCAAGTGGTGCAGTAAGTAATTGATTAAATGCTTCACCACGATTAATAATAGCATAATTCGTATATAAAATACTTTTCCAACCTCCTACAGCACTTCCAACAATTTTACCAACTATTGTTGTCCATTCTTCTTGAACAAATTTTGGAAGACGTACTTCTTCAGTAATTGGTGTTGATGGAAGCATTCTATGATATAAAAATAGTTGAAAAAAAAATTTCTTTATATTTCAATATTATTACTTACTGAATGCCATGAATAAATTCTGGATTAGCTCCAAACCATGTTGCATAATCAGCTTTATTTTCAAAAAATATACCTGTAACTTTATTAGCAATAAATTCTTTTGGCATAACTTTATTATCATTATCCATAAGAAAATATGTTTGAATACTACGTTTAGCAATAGCTAACATTAATCGACCAAGACCTTCAAGTGTTTTTGATTGTGTTGCTAAACCCCATAAAGCTAAACCATAATGAAAATTAACTTCTTCAGATGTTGATTCTTGATCTTTACCATCAGCTGATTCAAATAAACCCTTATATAGAAATAAATAATTAAATATTAAAATAAAGAAAAAAAAAAAAAAAAAAAAAAATTTTTTAATATTTGCCCCCAATTTTCTCAAGAATACCAATCAAAATAACGAAATTGTGGAAAATTTGTATCTTGTATTGAAGGATTATTAGAATCACGTATTAATCCTTCAATCCAATTTTTCATTTTTGGTATATAACTTGGATCAAGATGAGCAATTAATGCACCTGTTTGAATATAATATCCCCAATGATAATGATGATCATTATAATATGAATTACCAAAATCAGCTAATTCTTGTTGTGGTCTATAAAAAAAAATATTTCATGTTAAAATTAATTAGAATAGAAAAATAAATAAATAAATAAATACTAACGCTAAACCAGCAGCTGAAACAAAACCAGACCATGTTGTATCATATCGTAATGCATTTGCATTTTTACCAGTAATAAGTATATCAAATGCATTTTCTAATGTTTTTATACATTGTTCTCGTAATGATGTTTCTCGATAATAATCAGCTAATAAACATAATAATGCCAATTTATGAAATGCTTTTCCTGTAAAATAATAATCTGATATAGCTAAATTAACACCATTTGTTATATCTTTTTTTAATTGTGCTACAATATAATCTTCATATTCAGGTGCAGGTGAACGTGGTGCAAGAAAACCCATTGTTGATAATGAATTTTCAATCATTATCCAAACATTACCAATATAACCTATCATTGGTCCTTTACTTGATGATTGAGATTGTATAGGTGTTCCTGTAGCACTATTTGATGACATAACTTGTCGATGATGTGCAAGTGTATAATGAAGAAGAGTTTTTGTTAAATCACCTTTACGTTCCCAAATAAATGTATATGCACCTTTTGAATCAGTTACATCAGCTTTTAATTGACATCCAATTGGATAAACAGATACATGAGTATCAAGTAAAGAATTTGCATAAGAATCGGATTGTTTTTTAGTTAAACGAAGAATATTTGTTATTGATTGTGTACCAAATAATTGATTTTCACGAAATTCTAATGTAATATCACCATTAAGTGTATATAAAATCCATGTTTGTTGATTATTTAAAACAATTTCAAAACGTTTTCCAGTTAATCTTCCTGATGTTTGACCATTAACAGAAAGAATAGCATGTGTTGTTGAAATTTTTGGTGTTGCTGAATTATATTCAAATGTAACATATGCCATACCACGTACAATAGGCATTATTATTGATGATTGAGAATTTTCTTGATACATTTTTAATGTTAATGAAAATCCCGGATCATCAACATCAATAATTTCAAATTTTTGTGTAGAAAATTCTGTTGCACTAACTTGAATATTTTTTAATATTACATTTATAAAATATTTTACTCTTGTACTATCAATATGTGGTCCAAATGATAATTGTTCAGTACATGATATTGATATACCATATGGTGATTCAAGATTCATAAAAAGTACAAATGGATGTGTTATAATTGGATTACTACCTGGACCAAGAAGTGGATTTGTATAAAATTTATTTGTATGTAATGGTCGTTTTTGTGATAATTTAAGTCGTTGTGGTTGTCGTGGATGAACAATATTTGGATAAAATGTTGAATCCGGTCTTGTTGTTGATATAGGTACTAATACATCAATACTTATTACAGTACTAATAGCTATTAGAATTGTTAGACTACGAAGTAGAAACATAGTTGTAATGATAGTTAAAAACAAAAAAATAAGAATGATAGAAAAACTCATATGATTCGATTTTTTATAGTATATTGTTATTTGATGAGGATTAAAACGAAATTTATTTGGTAGTGTCGAATGTAAAAATTCGTTAAGTCACCAAATAAATGAATATTTTTATTAGAATGATTGAAGATAAAAGAAATTTGATATTAATAGTGCTAAATATCGGCAATTTCTTTGTTCTTTTTTTTTTCTTTTCGTAGTGATGCTTGGAGAGAAAAGAAGAAATGTAGACACTATTTTTATCAGTCAAAAAATTTGTTTTAATTCTGAATTAGACAAAAGAATCTTTTCATCTATTGGTATTTTTGATTAGTTCTTAGAATAATGATTATACCTAGATCGATATTTCAACATACGAAGTAAAAATAAGTTTGTTTTTTTTTAAGCAAAACAATTTAATTGCATCTTAAATATTTCATCTTATATAACCAAGTAATTTAAGAAAACCACTTTGGACTGATAATAATAGAATAGTAGTGAAATTTTAGGCATTTTTTTATTGATCTAAATAGAGAATAAGATATATTTTCTAATATAATAATAGTATGTAGGTTCAAAGACCAAAGACACAACATTAAAATTCATAAAGAAATTGCAAACAAATGTTGTTAAAGTTTATCGTGAGAAAGACAGAAAGATAGCGAAATGGAAAAGTAACTTGATTCATGCATCACAATCAAATTATACTTTCAGTATTACATTTTCTTCTCGGATAGATATTCTCATAACTATTTCTTGCATAATATTAAGTCAATTGATAATAGGTATAAGAATAAAGTCTATATTGAGTTTCAATATACTTTCGATTATTAAAAATTCAAAGAATGTGTTATTTGAAAGAACACATCATGAGAGTCAATGTGTGACGAACAGCTATTATGAAAATATTTGTTTGAACAGCAACAGCTATGGATTTATTTTCAAAGAAATATTTTTATTTAATCGAAACATTATGAGTGTGTTATAATATTGATAATATAAATGATCTAAAAAAACTAAAAGATATTTTAATAAATAATTCATATGAATTAATTATGAAATATTATTTTGTTGCTTTTCTCAATATTCTTGAAACTTTACTTATCAATCAATATTTTACAACATCCGCATAGATTTTTCTAATATCATATTTGTCATCCTCTTGTTTCTTTATGTTACGAAGTAAGAATCAATAGGTTCGCAAAGAACCATATATTGAGATGTCCAAATAGTATTCATGACAAACAAATCAATTAAAAATGAAATATATATCAATATGTTGACAACAATCTATTCATATATAAAATATAAATAAAAAATTCTGCAATTTGATATTTTGCATTTTCATACTTGAAACTTATCAAGCTGAAATTGATAGGTGAGAAAATGTATGTTTCTTTTTTGATAGTAATACAGTCGAACGTTATACAATATTTCAAAAGTTAATCTATTTATTAAAAAAGGATTAAAACACCATTTCGAATACACTCAGTAATATTCTATTTGAATCTATTATTAGATAGTAAAACTTGATAATTTTGTTTGATAAATATCAAGCATATTGTAATCTTTTTTCTTTTTTTACTCATACAATTATTTTTATTGTGATTATATTATGAAATTTACGTTTTATATTTTGATATTATCAATAGAATGTAATGTAATAGTCGAAATTTATTTTTATATAGCCGCAATAAATAGTATCTCATCGATTAATGCTATGTTTTTATTTGAATAAAATATATTAAAAAACAAAGGTTTTTTTTTTTTAGTTTTCACTCGATAAATAAAAAATTTATTGCTAGATGATATTTTTAATGATAATTGATTACAACAAATATAATGATGTAATTCATTGAATCAATAAATCTTTGAGTATTATATATACATAGGTTTACTAGAGTTAATGCAGTAAACATTTTTTTTTGTTTTGTTAAATATTTTCAGCTTAGTTCTCCGTTCTGTTATTTTTATTTTGGTGAGTGTGCTGATGGATAAATATACTCTAATCGTTTTATTTTCGTGGTTTCTTTTTTTTAATTCAATGTACACTCAATGTTCGTTTATATGCTTAAATAACCTATCATATCATGTAATACTTACATACATGTCTTAGAATATGAACGGATAGGAAAAAGGCTCCTATTATTATTATTCGCTGATGAGAAAAAAAAAAGAACTAACAATGAGAGAGAGAGACTACGAGAGTAAACGAGGAAAGGAAGACAACACAACATTGTAGCTGCAGTCGACAAAAATGAAGAATAAGGAAAATGCGTAGTATATGTGGTTTTATACATAAAGAAAGAATAAAAATAAAAAGGAAGAAGAAACATGCATGTAAATGTATTTCAAAAGGTTGTTCTTTTTATATAGACATGTCAAAAAATCAGCATCCTTATCTAAAATCAAATCAATTTCAAAAAATTTATCAGTCGTAAGAATACAAACAAAACTATTTGTATTTTTTTTTAATATAAATAACATTTTATAATTTTCTTTTTAAGTTGGGTATCAAGTCTATTACAATTAGGACGTAAACGACCACTTGAAATTGATGATGTATTTGATATTTTACCTGATGATCAAAGTCAACCTTGGATTGATCGTCTTGAAAAGTAAATAATATGAATTCGTTATATATATATATATATTATAAAACAAATGACTCATACTCTATATGAAAGAAGAAATAACAGAACAGAGAAAAACTTCCAATGATTTACTATTATTTAAAATCTTCTAATCTAATTTATTGAATAGAACATGGGAAAATGAAATAGCACTTGCTAAGAAATCTGACAAGAAAAAATATAAACCATCATTATTTCGTGCAACTTGGAAAGTCTACAGAAATCGATATTGTATTATGGGCTTATTTCTGTTGGTTCATGTATGTATAGACATTATCTTTTTTCTAACGGGAAAAAAAAGTTTATATGTCTTCGGTTTTGTTTATAGACCATATGTCGTTTTATTCAACCATTTATATTAGCACGTTTTATTCGATATTTTGCACCATGTTCAAATATATCATTAACTGAAGCAATAATATTAGCTACATTAACAAGTATCATTCCTTGGATTATGTTTGTAACTCGTCATTTAGCATTTATTAGATCTTATATTGGTGGTATGCATCTTCGATGTGCATATTGTGGACTTATATTTCGTAAGGTTAGAAAATATAAATTATATAAATAAAAAAAAAAGAATTTATTCATATGAATATTAATATTAATATAGATTATGAGATTATCCATAGGATCATTAGGACAACATTCAAGCGGAAAAATTGTGAATATGTTAACAAATGATGTTCAAACAGTTGAACGTTTAACTATTGATGGTCATTTTCTTTGGATTGGTTTACTTGAAACAATTGTTGTACTAATTATTCTTTGGTCTTATGTTGGTATTACAATTTTATTAGCTATTATTTATACATGTTTTATTATTATTTTACAAATTATTTGTGGAAAATGTATTCAATTAATATGGTATAAATTGATTTTTTTTTACAAAAAAAAAAAACAAATATTATTAAATTTTATTTATTAGGACAAAACGTGTTCGAAAAACAGATTTACGTATTAAATTAATGAATGAAATTATTAAATCAATACATCTTGTAAAGATGTATGTATGGGAAAGACCATTTCAATTTAAAGTTGAACGTGTAAGAAAGTATGATATATTTCATTTGATAAATATTTTTAATTTTATTTTATTATTTTTGATCTATTTAGACAAGAAACAACATATATTATTTTACAATCACTTGTAGATACAATAAAAATTGTTAATGGACTTACATATCCATCAACATTTTTTTTAATTATTTTTGGTATTCTTTGGTATCGAAGAGCACCTTTTGATACTGACTTTTTTACAATAGCATTTGTTTTAATTTCCTATCTTCGTCATACATATTTACATAATTTTTCTAATGCTTGTATACATCTATCTCAATATTGGGTAGCATCAAATCGTATTGAAGTATAAATTCTCTTCTTTTTTGTTTTATTATGAATGAAATATTTATTATTTAGAAATTTTTAATATGTGATGAATATGATCGATCGAATGCAATTACTTATGAGAATGAAAAAACTGATAGAACATATATTCATATTCAACAAGTTTCATCAAGTTGGGAGGTAATTTTATACAACAACAAAAAAAAAATTCCGATTAACTGTTATTGATGATTTTATTTTAGCAAAACTCATCATTTAGATTAAGAAATATTTCATTTTCTGCTTATGTTAGTGATCTTATTATGATTATTGGTTCGATTGCATCGGGAAAAGTACATAAATTCTAATATTTAATATTAAATGCATTTAAATTTAATTGTAATATTTTATACTTTATAGAGTTCATTATTAATGACATTACTTGGTGAAATGCCAATAAAAAATGGAAAAATTTCTTTTAGTCGAAAATCACGTCTTTGTTATGTATCACAAGGCAGATTAAATAAATTAGATTGTTAATATAGAAAGATCTTGTTTTTTTTTCTTTCCTTATAGAACCATGGATATTTTCGGGTACAATTAGAGAAAATATTCTATTTGGTCTTGATTATGATGTAAAAAAATTTTATCGATGTATTCATGCAACAGCATTGAATATTGTTTGTTATTATTTTATGTATTTTATTTCATTATTAATTTCTTTTTCTTTTTATATAAATATAGGATTTAGAAAATTTACCATATGGTGATTCAACTATAGTTGGAGATAATGGAATTATTTTATCAGGTGGACAAAAAGCTCGATTATCATTAGCACGAGCACTTTATCGTGATGATGATATTTATTTACTTGATGATCCATTATCAGCTGTTGATGTTGAAGTTGCTCGACATATTTTTGAAAAGTAATAATTCAAATAACAAAAAAATTAATATATTGAATAATATTTATATTTTCTTGTTTAATTTAATTATTTAGATGTATTCTTGGAAAATTACATTCAAAAATTTGTATTTTAGTAACACATCAAATTCAATTTCTTAAATATGCAACAAAAATTATATTTCTTGATAAAGTAAGTTTACTGAAATGAAATAAATCTTGTCGAAAAGTTTGAATAAGATGATTTCAAGATTAGTACTAACATTTTTTTTCATTGAGAAGAATATTTTTTATATATTCATGTAAGACTTAAATTCCAAATCATATTCTCATGAGTCAAGTGTTTATGAGAAAATTATTTCGTAATCATCATTTCAATATTTCTTATGACAACTTTGATAGTAAAAATGAATCCCTTTTCTTGTAAGTCAAAGGCATGAGTTACTAAGTGCAAAACTAGAACCAAAAAATTTTTCTGACCGATACCACACTCTTCTTCAAAAATTTATTTTCGATTTATATCAACTGAAAATAGATAGAGAAGAGAAGTGAAGGATGGTCACAATGGAACAGATATATCCACTTTGATACACAGACATAGCAGATAGATCGTAGAATACAAAAAGTAGAAATAACTTTCTCTTGCTCCAGTAATCTCCATCTTTCATTTCTATCATTCACGAGTCATGAATCAGATTCGATAAAATCTTTTGTTTGGAAAATCTACGATTATATATGATGATAAATAAAATCAACAGGAGCTACTAGATGAAGGTTACTACTATCCGTTTCAAAAAAGAATGAGCGCGATTGCGAGTTGAATAACTCGAGAACGCAAACAGCTAGCGACCTGCGGTTTTCAC